CGCCGCCGCCGCCGCCGCCGCCGCCGCCGCGGGGCACCGCGGACAAAACCGCGGAAAACGAGGAGAGTGAGGGGGGACAGCAGTGAATGTGTGGGCTTGCTGCCGGCGAAGCGCCTTAACCATCATCCCAGGGATGAAGGGGAACTGGGAAAGTAACTCGGAAAAGTGAGTGGGATTCTTTTATCTTTTCTTCTTTTTCCTCCTAACCCGAAAGGAGCCGTTTAAAGGACAGCAAAGCAGCCGGGTGCACACGCTGACTGGGGAGACACAAGGAAAGAGGGCACGGCACGCTCGCACCCACACATCAGCTGGGCGAGGGTGCACGATCCTATGCTTGGTTTTCCCCCAACATGACTCTGTACGAAAGAAGCAGCACATAGTAAACAGATTCATCATGCGACGAAGCACGGGAAGGTGAAACAGAAGCAGAAAGAGAAACTAACACTGAAAGGAAGAAAGGGGAAAAAAGCGACTGCCAATTACTTCCAGAGAAAGTGGGTGGATGTCGTTCGTGTAGCCGTGACTTGGGATTTTAGGGGATGCACCCTTACATTTTGCTTCCCACTACCCCGAGCCTCCCTTCTCCAGTGGCAGAAAGCGGCTGTACTTGGTAGGAGAGGAGGAGTAGGAGGAATAAACAGGAGGGTTTCTTTCTGCAGTGCTTGCGATGCCCTACTGATGCTGCTTTAAGGATTTTTTTTTTTCCGGTGGATGTTGATTTCTTGACCTCGATTTTGAGTCCTCTTAGTTGTATCGCAGTTTTTGTTTTGTGTTTTTGTTTTCTTTGGCGAGAAGAGGACAGGGGGAGGCTGGCTTCGGTGCTGAAAGTTGCAATCATCACTATTCTGGAGCCAGCATGTGCACCAACATAGTCTACGAGTGGCTGAAGACCCTGCAGCTCTCGCAGTACGCGGAGTCCTTCGTCGACAATGGCTACGACGACTTGGAGGTTTGCAAGCAGATCGGGGACCCGGACCTGGACGCCATCGGCGTTGCCGTGCCCCACCACCGGCGACGGATCCACGAGGCCGTGCGGCGGCTGAAGGAGGCGGACG